GCCAACAACCCAGTGATAGCTAACTTAAATCTAAATTAAAATATAAACACAAAGATATAAAGCTAATAAAAGTTGGATTTTGTAAAAAAGTTGAACTAAGTGATAATTTGTTATTTAGGATGCCGAATAATATTTTAAGAAATATTAAAAAAAACATATTTCAAAATATTTATAACAATAAGAATAATAACAACAATAATAATAATAACAACAATAATAATAATATATTTATTTTTTGCAGTTCGAATTTACGTTTATCTAGTAGCAGTAAGCCCAAAGCACGGCGCAAAAAAAAAACTGGGAAACGATTTTAAAAAACATCAAAGCTTAGCCCCTAATTTCATAGCTACTTATATCTTAACATATTATATATGACCTTATTAATAGAAATCTATTTCGGCTAATTATCTTTGACTAAGAGATTATAAAGAAAACTTTTACAAGTTTTTCTAAAAGATGTGGGCATCAGTTTCTTTACGTTATTGGTAACAGCATTATAACATTTGTAGATACAGTAGGAGGATTCAAAGTATGAACATCACTTCGGTATTTCATTTTTTTAAAGAAATATGCAGCCAATTGGTAGTCAATTTGCCTCTTTATACGATATGCGATCACGTCGCCCGACACCGTAGATCAATTGTAAACACGATTGTTGCACTCTCAAACAAGGACCATAAACCGCATCTGCATAATTAAAATGAGTAAGTGCCAATGAATCCATTAATCTAATTTTAACGTTAGTTTTTAAAAGGTGGCGACCGGGATAAATGATTTTTAAATTCAAATAAGCTTTTTGACCGCACTTATTTACGTGGTTCTTGAAACGCAAATCACTATCAAAGTTTAGTTTCCAATTTCGGACGTGTTCAGCCCAAATTAAATGTTGATCTGATGTATTCGGAAGTAAGGTCTAATTAACTCTTTAGACTGACCAAATGACATAAGATAAGATTTGGTAACATTTATTTCGAGTTGAAGCGAGTCTGAAAACTCTTCAACGCGCTTGATATCCCTGCCTATAATTTCCATAGCCTGCTGAAAAATATATTTTGGGTATCATCAGCATAGCAGCAGCAGCATTTTGCAGTCCTGTAAACATTTACTCAAATTGCATGTATTAAATAGGAGAGGCCCTAATATTGAGCCTTGGGGTACCCCATATGGATAAGTAACATTACATGACTCTCCTTTAGATGTTGAAACAAACTGAAAGCGGGCAGTACATGCATAAAAGAGACTGCGGCACTTGAAAAACCTAAATAGTGCAGTATTGAAAAAAGAAATTCATGATTGATCTTGTGGAAAGCATTTGAGTAATGCAACAAAATAAGCACAGTCGTTTTGCTCATATCAGTCTCCCGAAGAATGTAGTCTTATATTTAATAGTGTCGAAGTGCAGCTGGACCCTTTTCGAAATCTTGACTGCGAGGGGGGAAGTAACTCTAGATGATCATTAATTTGTTGGTTTATTTTTTCAAGAACTTTTGGAAATACGGATAAGATGCTTATAGGTCTCAATTCATCCATTGTCGTGATACTCTTTGATTTAGGTAATGGAAGGACCTTAAAAATTATCCAAGTCTTAGGAAATACGGATTCGATAATGCAAGTATGGATTATATTCGTGATAAAGGGAATTTTTTTTTATGAAAACAGAAGTATTATTTCCAAGTTCAATTTATCCACACCCATTAACGACGTTTTCTGATGCTGTTAAAAAAACAAGCAATCTACTAAGCTTTTTTTTTGTATTTTGATTGTAAAAAAATTGTAAATTCTTATTAGGTGGACATCCGGTACCGCAGTTTTTTTTTATTAATGTCGTCAGGATTATTTAAAAGGTCAGTAAAATCAATTTTAAATAATTTAAATAGCATTTAAAAAAATATATTTTAATGTTTCTTTTTAAATTTATTACTATTTTACAATCCTTTCGAAGGGTACCAATTTACCCCCCTAGATAACACTAAACTTTCAAAGTGGTGTTTTCAAATATTTAGTATTATCAAGTACTTTTTCATTAAAAATTAGTTTGAATGGCTAACTCAATCGGTAAATAATGGTTAATTAATCACGTAGTCAAATATATAAAGCTGTTTAAAAAATCAACAAAACAGCCTTTTGAGAGAAATAATTCATTTCGAATTATCAACGTTGCTATGAAAACAAATTTGACTATCTATCTATCTATCTATTGTAATCGAGGGCCTCTCGAAGAAATCGACGCCTTAGGAAGTGATCATTTCGAAACATATATTGCTACATAAATAATTCAATAATTAATAAAAATGGTTAATATATAACAATTTTGTTAGTTTCGGTTAGTTTTAAAAGAATTATTATTAGGTAACGAAAAATTCCTACTAATAATAAACTAATTGAAAACGGGCAATGATGTCAAAATGTAGTAATGTCTGGTATTGAGAATAGAAGGCAAAAAAAAACACAATTTTATTTTTAATATTTTTGATGATTTTTAATCTAAATATCATTTGCCATCGTAAATGATATAGAGAACAGCAAAGAGTTTTATTTCGTCAATTCGACAGACTTAAATTGAGTTAAAAAAAAGATGTTTTGCGATTATATCGCGATCGAGTCACTCAAAGCACGATTTTGGAATAACCGCCGTCACTTTTCATGCAGAGATAGAACAAACAGCAACACACAAAATGATTTGAATGTATTTCAGCTTCAAAACAGTAACTATGGTTAACATTATAAATTTTTGTAGGAACAGAGTTTTGAAATTCAAGGCAACAAACATACCAGCTTTTGACAATTGCAGAAACTCGAAAATAATTTGCAGCACTTGTCTTATCGCGTTTTCTTAATAGGTTTTCTTATTCAAATTTTTCTTATACAGAACCTCGCTGCTCTTACTGGAATCCCTGGTATATTATGTTACTCCAAATTATTTCAAAATCATGTCACTATACTATAGTTTTATAATTATTAAATTATAGATATTAATTTAATTTAGTTATTTACATTATGGATCTTTATACAGTTTTTCAGAAGGTTTTGCGGCGTTTAAAATTTATTTTTACATGAAAAATCGACATTGTGATAGTTAACAACTTTATTTCGGTTCATACTCGATTCATTTTTATTTCATTTCGTCGCGTTCCAAACTAGACACCATTAGATAGTGAAAGCGAGAATATCAAACATAACAAAAGCACCCTTTTACCCCATTAGAGGCTCCATTAACTTGTAAAAAGCGACAGGACGTTACAGAAAATACACATTTTTTTACCAAAATGCGGTCCTGTTGGGTCGGCTTCTTTATAGTGTTTAATTTGACGACTCCGAGTTTGTCGTATCGTTTACATCAAGGTTGCAATGTTATCAATACGTGCATTCCGATGGACCCACTGGCCGAATCATATTTGAAATTAACACAATGTTCTAAGGCAATCGTGACCGACATAAACGCGTCTGATATATTCGTCTACACCGAGTCAATGACTACCGTAATTTTCATAGAACAAATACAACTTATCCAAAGTACCATCGTAAAACTTGTAGCTGGGAAATCGTTTCGTAACCAAGGTACGTTTCAATTTGTGATATGTTCACCAATAGATACGAATCGACTAGCCGGCACTTTAAAAAATTTATCAGACTACGATGGGGTCATAAGATTTAATGTAGTTTACTACAGCGACGGCCTTCTTCACAACTGGAAACAGGAGGTACGCCGACTTCAGCCCATACGTCTTATACTGCCCAGGAATTCGTCTGCTTTTGCAAACTACGCGGATTCTTTTGACGTGTTCGTCGCGAAGGCTCTACCTCAATTGTTAAACATGACACATTCCTACGTGTTGCTGAACCGCAATGCCGACTTGGAGCAACTTATGCAGTTGACTGAATTCGGAAGAGGAGATTTCTGTACCATTACAGTTCCGCTGTTGCTGGTTCTCCGATGGAGGACCAGGGTTAGCTTCACGTACCCTCACACCATGAACGACATAGTTGCGTTGGTGCCAAAACCATCCGTCATTGAAAATTTGCACCCGGAATTCGGGTTCTCCGGACGCATAAACGTTCTCATGCTCTTTACGACGGTTTTCATGACCGTTTTGGACAAGAACCTAAGCGTTAATCGACGTACCAGAGAGTACGAATTGGGCAGTTTTTATTTTACGTCTTTGGGAATGTCCTACGTCGGCACAATCCGAAAGAGATCCACGATTTATGGAACCTGGCTGATATTCAGCGCAATCATGGCCATTATGTACAACGTTCAAATGATGAAAAATATTTTTGCCCCTTATCAACTCGAGCCGAGGATCGAAACGTTGCGGCAGCTAAACAACAGCGACCTGAAAAAGTACTCCCTGAACCTGCATCTCGATTTAAATGTCGACCACGCCGAGCTCGATTCGTTCGAGACGATGGAAAAAATGTTAGTGGACTGCACACCGAACGCGGCTTTTATTTTACCATTTAGCTTGGCCGTATACTTCACCGACAATTGCGATTACCGCTTTGAAATTATGAAGCAGCCGGTAGTACCCAGTCTAGGGGCGTATATGGTCAAAAAAAACCTGCCAAATTTGAAACACATTGACGATGCGTTGGCCCGACTGATGCAGCTTAAACCCACGAAAGTTTCTCGCGGAACGAAGACGGAAATTTCCGACCGAAAGCTGGTCAAGTTCGGCCATTACCTGGGTTTCATTAAGGGTCTAATCTTCATGTTTGTTATTGACACGATGGTGTTTGCGATGGAGATTTTGATCGCGCGAAAAGGCAAACGAATCGTGGAGGCCGTGTTGAACACACGCTGCTTAAAGATTGCCTGTCGCACTTTGCGGCAAATGATGGGTCGCTCTGTAGAACGCTAGAATTTATCGCCGCTATTATTCGCGATTTACATCTGAATGATAAGTAGCTGCGACATTTCAGATGTAATTTTTGGTTAGACTAGTGACAATGTGTAAATTAGAGTTCGTTTTCGTGTTTGTACTTCACACTGTGGTGAGGCCTAGTATAATATCGCTATCACAAGAATTGTATTATGAATAGTTTATCACAAGCACCAATTTCTTTTATTGCATAAGTTGGCGGCGGCCTATATCAATGAAACGAAAAACAAGGGAGCAAAAGGCAGTAGTTAAGGTATATTTTTGTACATAATCACTTTCACATTTTACCTAAAATTGCTAAGCTCATTATAAACTTTCTTTTACCCAAAACAACACCATTTTTTGTCCTAATAAAGTAGACCGTGTTTTTTAACTATTTTTTATATAAATAGTTTTTCTCTATCCGTATTGCCTCGCTAGCTGTTTGCTTTTCTTAACTTATTTATATATTAAAAATCAAGCAGCCCGGAATTGTTAATGTCCGTCGTAAAAGAAATTACTTATTTTCTACCAACATAACAACTGCAAAGACCCTTCTGAGCTGCTCGACTAAAATTGAAATGAGTTAAGAACCCAAAAGCGAAAATCATATTTTTCGGCAATTGATGTTCTTCACTGTTATGACCAAAAAATTGTATTGTTATGAAGAAAATTTGAAGTGATATTCAGGAAAATATTCCTTAACCAGTGTCCTGTGGTCTCGATCAACCAAATTTGCATTTTCGTTTTTAGTTTTATTGACAGGCTCAGAATTTTAATGCACAGATATTCTAAATGGTTGTATTCTAATGGTAAGTGTGAATTATCGTATCGGTTGTTACTGTAAAATTGTCGCAGTAATCTTCAGAGAATAAATTGTGTATTGTTACTAAATTTTTAGTGATCGAATCGCAGAATTCGTACAACTATCACAACGATATGATATGCTAAGTGCTAGTGCTCCGTCAGATTAGATATCGGCTAAACACCATGATAAAAAAATTTACGTCGGCCTCGATAACGTTTTTGTACTTGTCAAGCGAATGGATAAGTACATAATGCGACAAATCACAAAAGTCTGACGCCGATTTCAAATTGTGTCCGAGTTACAAATATTGTATGTCAAATCAATGTTACACCAAGATTAAGCAAATGCAGCAGCATATTGATCATTTTTTTAGTCAAATAAGTTGATATAAAATGACGAAATTAAAGATTACATTGCCACGAAGTAAATGAAAATATTGCATAAGCTTTTATTGGAATTTTTGCGCTTATTTTAGACTTTCGTAACAAAGTTTTTGAATCATATGTAAAATATGTGGCGGGGGGGGGGGGTCTTTCCTCCTAATACCAATGTTTTTAAAGCAGTAGTGGTTATGGATACTGTACTAGTACTAACACCATAGACTGCTGTTCACGGTACATTGAAAAAACACTAACACTAGCATTTCTGGAAAAATATGATGAAGTAGTTTATCTGCACCATTTTCTTTCTAGACAGATAAAATGTATTAGCGGAATTCTTACATTTTCCAATACGCCAATAATTAATAACAAAACGAATCAATAAACTAAAATTGCCACGCACCTCTTGGTCTAAATCGTATATAAAATCAACGCGAAATACTGGTCAGAATAGGAAAAAAAAGAAAAAAGAAAAGGGGTAAATAAATGAAAAAAAAAAGATTGAATTTCTTGCAAAACTGGGTCGCTGGGTGCTTGCAAATTAGTTACCCGTAGTGCTCAGAGTTCTGGAGCGTTGGGGGGGGGGGTCCACGAATAATAAAGAAAATATAGCACTATCTATCCTTAGGGCGCCAGGAAGTGGCAGATCTTCCAGTCTCTCAGATGGTGTGAGGAACCTGATGTTTTACAAAAAAGAGAACATTAACGATGAAACCTACCATTAAATTTAAATTGGTACAATCGATAAAAGATAGTCGTGAAGGTTAAGGGGACAAAAAAAGAGACAGATGAAAACTGGTCTACGTTATTTATTACGCGTCGATAATGAGAAACTACAAATCCGCGACATACCGACCTAAACTCCGCAAAATTCAATTACCGTCCCCGCAACAAGTTGACAGCCCGTTTAATACGAAATTCCCAAAATAATAGAAATACACAAAGGTCAAATTCCCTTAGGTGATCACCACAGGCTTACAGGGGCAATATAGGTAATTATTAAAATAAAAAAACTCGACCACGATCATACTCAGTATTACCGGTACGTCAACTTTCAGCAAATAATTATACATAAATTTTCAAAGCATTTGTACACAAATTTTCGAGAGTAAAACTACATGATTATTGAATTTCCGTGTCGGTATAGCAAAAAAGGATATCGATTAAATTACCGAGCGTAACAATAACGGAAAATAAAAAAAAAGGTATGCCTAACAATATCTCGCGTAGCGCTTACATCGAACTGGACGTCACCTCGTTTATTTTCCGAACAGTGCAGCCTACAGAGGGTGTCTGACCTCGCGCAGATGTATCAAGTGAGCCGGTAGTCAAGCAATGATTCAAATGTGTTCCAATATCCAGAGAACACAGGAACTTCGAAGTTTGGATCCTCCCCGAATACGTCAATCCAGAAGCCTCCGAAACGCGAGCCCTCCTAAAGGGGGTACGGGTGCTCTAAGGCGAGTACAGGGCTTCAAGGAAATACGGGTGCTCCAACGAGAGTACGGGTGTTCCAAGGACCCTATAAAGTTTCCTCGTATAAGCTGACAGCGGCTAAATTCCGAAAACGAGCCGGAAAATTTACTGACTCTTTAAAGAGTGAATAGAATGGTAAAGGTAACAAAAGCTAAATAGTTAAAGACTTTACCTCGATGGATGTTCTTGAGGGTGAAAGCTTCGTAGGCAGCAGGTAGCAGTCAAATCCTCTTACAGAGTAAGTGTGGGCAGTTCTCCGAACGAACCAAAAATATGAACAGCAACGGAATCACCAAATCGCTGACCACACATCTAAGTGAATTTAACCCTATATCCGCAAAGCGATGGCTGAAGAAAAAGCCGGTAGGTTAATCACTTTTTGGCTAGTTACCACACTGTTCTTCTACCGAAACAGGAAAACGATATCATACCACGCATGTCGCTCGGAGCCAGGAGTGAGAAAGATAAATAGATTATTTTCTCAGATATTCGAGATAGATGCCGGAACGGAGAGAAATCACGGAACTTGGTGCATAAGGCCATACGCCCAATGATACTAGCGATACGAATCTATTTCTTCAAAGAGAATTATTTATTCAAAGAGAATATATACGCATTTATTCCGCTGTCGGGTTCAATTAATTCTTCATTGATAAAAGGGTATAGTTTTAAAGAGATCATTTATTAAGAAGTGTGTATTTGAAACATTGGTAATAACAACTAAATAAAGCGAATTAAATTACGACTTTCTTAGCCTGGCAGCGCGGACATCAGAACAAATCAGGTGTTTGCCGGTGAGGCAGGAAAAAAAGGCGCTTAGAATTTAAAATGTAGGCGCGGAACTACCGGATCGTATTCCAGTAAAGTAACAATTCTGAAGTGTTACAAAATATACCATGATCGTTGAAAACAAAAATCAGTCATCTGGTCTACTACTTAGAGAGAAAGGAATAATAGAGAAGGTGTCAAAAGGATGACTTTCCAGTATAATAACTCTCGTAGTTAGTTGCAGTAAATGTTTCTATTTAGTAAATTTTCGTTTACATATTGGCCATTATTCCTTTTAGTGGCCCCAATAATACTGAATTTTAAAGAAAACCTAATAGAGAAATAAGTCTCAACTAGCCAAAGATACAACAGAAAAACAAAATATTACTATCCTGTGCTTACCAAAAAGAACCTTTATTCATCTGTATTGAATTATATACTATGTATCCAGCAGTATTTTGAGACCTACCTACCTATAATAAAATTAATTAAAAAACAAAATGCAAAAGTTTTAGGGTTTATTCTTTTGTTTTTTTTTTTGTTTAATTTAACAGAAGTGTTGTATCTATATTTGTTTTATTTACAAATATTAAATTTATTGTGGTACATTTTACCACTAGATGGATAACAAAGGACAAACTACTCAAACTGGGCTCAGACTGAGTGGTCTGCGTATTGGCTAAAAATGGACAAATTTCAATACCAAAGAAGGGGCGGTAGCGGTATTTTATAATTATACAATTAACAAATTCTTTTGAGAGGCTCATCCATAATAACTCGGATTTCGGTATATTTATACTACCAATAAAAATAAACGATACTAATCGCAGAGTAAATGGCAAAACACTTTTAGTACGCTGATGATTTGGTCCTCGATATAAATGACGGGCCAATCAGGGGCGTCCTACAGGAAACTGATAGCGGAAAGACGTTTTACGCCTTCAAGGGTATTCCATACGCCCAACCGCCCCTCGGTGAACTAAGATTTAAGGTAAGGACGTGATCGATTTAGATGTTGTCTTGTCGGAAGTTAATTAGAACTTATACCCTACAGCCGCCCCGGTTTCCGCAGCCCTGGTCTGACGTCCTGGATACAACTGAAGACAGTCAATCTTGTATATCCGTAAAACACTTCGACAATGCAGATGCGGAAAGCGAGGATTGCCTCTATATCAATGTATATACGCCCTCACTGAAAGTAAGTGCTTATTCTTCTTTATAATTTTTCCCACCAACATCTTTTGAAATGTGTAAAATGGTTTCAAAACGCATGTTATTTTTGTTTTGTTTTTGATTTAAACAAATTAATACCTTACACTTTGAGCCCCATTGGGATATTAGATAAAAGCAACAAAAATTCATAATGCCTAAATATAAAATATAAATTTAGAGTTATAGTCCTGGGGGCTGGGTTGACGTAGTGGATTCAGTGCTTCCTGTTTCGGAATCGCATTGTCTTTTGTTTACGGATGATTTGAATATATTCAGGAGGGTTGGATCGCGGAGGATACTCTGCTGCTTCCGAGGGACATATACAGTGTTCACATGTGCTCTAAGATTAATATAGTTTGCGTTCAATGTAAAAAAATGCTGTAGTATTAGCTTTAGTCGTTCTTTGAGTATGGTTCGCAACCGATATGACATTGATGGAGTCGTGATCGAGGTTTTTTGTAAGCAATAGTGACCAACTTACTCCACATTGCTTTAGACCCCTTTATATCTCTTTGATTCGTTCTAGACTGGAGTAAGCATCTGTGGTATGGTCTCCATGTTATGTCTGCATATAGATAACATCGAAGCCGTTCAGAAAGTATTTTTAGGATCTTTGGCTTCAAAGGCGCATATCAAATTTATTGTATTATAAGTAAGACCTTCAATATTGATACTCTTCAAACCAGAAGACTCCAGAGAGTGATTTAGTTTATTGTCTTTAAGATTTTGAATGATTGGTATTATGGTCCAGCTCTTTTACCTAGCATATTATTGAACGCATATTACAGAAACTGTGATGACTCAATATTTCGCATTCATTACCATTGCACAAATTAGTGAGTTTATTCACCCTTTACTAGAATGCTGAAAGAGTGCAACTGTCTAAAGCTTGATCCTTTCATCGGCAGTCTCCGCTCATTTCGTTCTGATGTGTTCCGTTTGAGTGATTCTGCTGTCTTTATCTCTATTTGCCTTTAATAAATGTAAAAGTTTTGTTAAACCGTAAATAAATTAAATTTAAATTAGGTGAAATTAAATAATTGTGAAAGCTTATAATGGGTGTTTTTTTTTTCGATGTATAGAACTTTAAGTTGGCATTACTGTTCAAGATGGCGACCCATTTAACAGCTGTCAAGTGATTTATTCTCAGTTTGGTTTTTCAATTCAGCATGAAATCATCAAGTAAGGCGCAGATTCGTCGAATGGGCCCAAAACGAGATTGCCATTGTTCCCGATTTTCATAAGCGAATTTTGTTTAGCGATGAAGCGCACTTCTGGTTGAATGGCTACGTCAACAAACAAAACTGCCGCATTTGAAGCGAAGCTAGTCCTCAAGTGTATGTCGAAACCCCGTTACATCCAGAAAAACTGACTGTTTGGCGTGCTTTATGTGCTGGTGGAATCATTGGTCCGTACTTCTTCAAAAACGATGATGGCCAGAACGTTACAGTCAATGGTGATCGGTATAGAGCTATGATTACTAACGCTTTCATTCCTGAATTGAATAACCATGATGTCCAGGAGATGTGGTTTCAACAAGACGGCGCAACATGTCATACAGCTCGTGCTAAAATCGATTTATTGAAAGACACGTTTGGTGACCGGTTAATTTCACGTTTTGGACCTGTGAACCTCGAAGATCTTGTGATTTAACACCGCTAGACTACTTTCTGTGGGGCTATGTAAAGTCATTGGTCTATGCGGATAAGCCACAAACGCTTGACCATTTGGAAGACAACTTTCGCCGTGTTATTGCCGATATACGGCCACAAATGTTGGAAAAAGTCATCGAAAATTGGACGTCCAGATTGGACTACATCCGCGCCAGCCGTGGCGGTCATATGCCAGAAATCATATTTAAAATGTAATGCCACAAGATTATCTTTCGGATAAATAAAATTCATGCCAATCGAATAATCCATCGTTGTTTTATTGCAAACTGAAAGTTCTACACTTCGAAAAAAAAACACCCCTTACAAGTAATTCAAATAGAGTCAAATTTTCAACAGGGAAAAAAACTTCAATAGATGGTATTGCTTCGGCTTAGCAGTAAAGTTAAAGGTGTTCTATCCAAATCAAAACCTGAAACAGTAAAACTATTTATTGTGTTGTAAACGATTATCTTGTAGTGAGGGGCTATTTGCCACCTTAGTCATTCTGCGATAGAGATATGAAGATAGACTTTCACCTACAATCTTATCTATAACTTAAATTTATCAAAATTAGTTCTAACTGACGATTGACGGTACCTTAAACGTTCACGACGAACGGTACATTGAATGTTTCTAAGATTTGAACCGTTCCATAACCGGTGATGCTCTATCGATCTGAAATGTTTTTAACACTGCGGCGTTGCCCCTTCTTCAAAAAAGTAGCATCAACATTGAAATTTGAAATGAGACACCTTGTATGTTATTACATTTTCAAATCTGCTAATACTTTGTAATTGTTTACGAGTTATACATTCATATACCTGTCTTGAGCCGTTTTCGAAAAAATAATTATTTTCTTCATTCTTCCAATACATAGTTTCAGTTTTTATTACTACGACGCACTGTGTGATGTACCGTGGACAAAATTACCTAAAAAGTTAATTTTCAACTTTTTATTTTTAGCATTTTTGTTACAACGTTGGACAGATGATTTGTCACTTAATAACATACAAACATTATTTTATCTTGGTTAGCCGTGCTTTTGTTTAGCCACGCCTCCAAAGTTTGACAACTGTTAACGTTAGCCGAGAATTAAATATTTAGCGTGACTTTTACTACTATTCAAAGTTATGTTTTAAGTGTCTTCTCAAGTTTGTAAGTACTTCATATTGTTATAAATTAAATTACCGTGAAGCTTTTTTTAGCGAGTTTTATAAGTTTGTGCGGATTTTATAGCATTTTAAACTTTGTCCAAATTTTTAAGAAAGTCCCTTAGCATCACATTCAAAATTTTTTAATATACTATTCAAAACTAATTTACTATTTGCTTAAAAAACCCTACTTGCTTTGGGTTGCGATTAACGGAGTAATAATTTTTTTTAGTGACAGATGTTTACAATAAAAAATAAAGACCTAATAGACGTTTGGTTAAAAACTCCAAAAGGTTATCGAAAACAGTCGGTTTATGATAAAATCCTACGTGATATTGAAGAACCGTCCAATAGTTTAAAAAATCAAATTATGAACTGTAGCAAGATTTTTGGGTTAAAAATGGCCACTAAATACGACACAGTGTGTCGCTCCCGCAAGCAACTTTTGGAAAAAGAGGTGGCCTGGCTGAACTAAATTATATATTACGAAAACAATTTACCAGAAAATCCATGTTTAAACCAAGAACAAGCTCAGACCAGTTTAAATCGGAGAAGAAGACCCCGCGGTCTTTTTGAAGAGGCTTCAATTAAAACAAAAAAAAGACGAGCAGCCGAATTAGCGGTCCGGAGGAACTACAGTTTGCTTCGCAAATTATAGCTTCGGGAAGTAACAGTAATCAGGTTCCATCTACTGCAAGTTTTACTCCCATTGAAGCTTTGGCACTTAATTTTCTTCCCAACTATTTTCAACTAAAAGAAGCCAAAAAAGAAATTTTGCTTTCCAATGTAATTGTACCTGATATTTCTGCGGAAGTAGATTTGCAGAATCTTTTACACAAAACAATAGAAAGCATTTTAAATTTAACTAATTTACATGGTTCAATGAAACTAAAACTTATATGCAAGTATGGCTTTGACGGTAGTTCTTAAAATTAAATACCCTACATATTATCACTCATTGTAAGAGCAAATTTCGAATGATGAATCTTGTCCATATACCTAAAAATCGTTTGGTTTCTGAAATAAAAGCAAGTTTCTCTGCAGACTTTATTATTTTTTGTAGAAATTTAGTTTGAATGTGTCTTGCTTGTTAAAAGATAATAGAGTAACTTTTTCAATTAAATTTCGACCTATGTGGTTCGTTAAAATCACGAGTTTATTTGACACTGGTGTAGAGCAAGGAAAACTTACGTTATTGCATTGCATGATGCTTTAAACGAATGGATCCATTGGAGATAAAGAAGGCTACTACTACTACTAAAGTGTTTGGATGCAATGGTTAAAATGGTTTAGAAAGTTTTTCTTAATTCTGGCAAATTTCCTCTTCTCCATATGTTATATCATATCAGGATTCGTTTCATTAAATTTTCTCCGTGTTTCGGTAATAATGTGGTTGCATGGTCCATAAGACGAATATTTCATGGCCACATAAAAGATGTTTTATGCCAAAGTAATCCAAAGTTTTCAGAGAAACTTACTTTCATTTCAGAAACCAGGTATAAGTATACATACTCATAGATCATTCGAAAGGGAATTTAATTGGCTCTTAGAATATGTGATAATATACAGGAAGCTACACTTAAAAAATGTTTTCCGCCATTTTGGTCTCTCGTATGTGTGTATGTTATGTTGTTTGATTGATGAAAGACCTGAGTCGCGGTTAAGAGTGTCTGGTTGCTTATAGATTTCTATGGATTCTCGGATTTTCCGGTTTCGTGATTATGTTAGGCAACTGCTGATGATTTTATTTGTCGTAGTCTTAAGGCTTTTTCATTTTCTTTGAGCCTAGTATGTTAGGGTGTAAAGAGTTTAAATGGCTAAGAACATCTCGTAGGAATTCTTGAACATTAGCCCAAATAACAAAAGCAGGTGTCGAGGGCTTTCTTCTTAAAGGCTTCCATAAATATATTCGGTATGACTAGTGATAATGACAAGACAAGATAAATACCAGCATTTTTCAATTAAAATGAGAAAGTTTGGTTCCAGATTTTCGGATTTTAATATATCTAAAATTATTATGAGAAATAAAGACTTTATTAACTAACCAGAATATCTTGTGGATCTAATGTGATGCTTTTTCGTTATAATGTTTTTTAATGCTTTTTATCAAATCGATAGGGCATCGCCGCTTTTGGAAATAACGAAATTTTCAGAACAATAATGAATTAAATATACACAGAGAATAGATGATTTCTTTCATCCTTCCAAAGAGACATCTGTGATTGACATTTAACAATCATAAAAGGTCAGACAACACTGTACGTACTTCGGGACCCTTTTTCCGTTTAACAGTTTTTGCTGAAGAAAGATCATAGCAAACAAAAAAACAAACAAACGAAAAACCAAACTAACAAAACAAAAAAGTAAATTATTATTTTAAGTTAGGCGACGCAATATGCAATGGTCCTAAGCGCTTTAGCATTTTAGCCGACTGAAAACCTGGCCGTTCTATTTTGGATCTACGGTGGTGGATTCACCAACGGCAACAGCAGCGAGGAATTATATGGGCCGCACTACCTCATCGAGGAAGACGTCGTCCTTGTTACTTTTAATTACAGACTGGGTCCGTTCGGATTTGTGTCGACTGGCGATTCCGCAATATCTGGAAACGCGGGTCTCAAAGACCAAAGTTTTGCCCTCAATTGGACGTACCACAACATCCAACTCTTCGGGGGCGATCCCAAGAAGATCACCATATTCGGTCAGAGCGCGGGAGGAGCATCTTGCGGCCTCCATTTGATAAGCAAAAAATCCAGCGGTTTGTTTAGAGCGGCCATTTGCCAGAGCGGATCGGCCCTGACGTACTGGACCGCTTTAGAAGATCCCTTGGCCTACGCTTACGACTTGACTAAATTGATAGACAGCAGTCTGGTAGATAAGAACGATACCTATCGCATACGAGACGTCCTCAAAAACGCGACTGTAGAGGAAATTACGCAGGCAGTCTATAATCTTGCGGCTACAAACGTAAGTTTTATAGGCAAACCAAAAATATTAAACCATATAAGTGGGTCTCAACAAGTGACGGTAATTAATAGGTCACTTTTTCGAAAAACTCTATCACTTGCTTGGCAATCAGCGCATTGAAAATTAGCGACGTTCATTGTCGATAACTGATTAAAAACTATCTTACTAAACAAAATCTTCGCAGAGTAAAATATATCTAAATGAAAAAAATATATCTACAAAAATCGCAAACATCAGGCATTGAACCCATAATTCCCTCTTTTTATCATCATTCGGAATCTTAGCAATTTCTTCCATGTCATTGTCTTCATTATCTGGAAGAAATTCTTCATCATGTTCATGTGACCTAATCATAGACTGTCAGTAACTGAGAAGGACCTTATTATAATTGCTTTAGTATGACCGTCTATGAAATGTACCAACTCATGAGAAATTTTCAGAAAGCTGTAAATAAAATGTTAGTATATTTACTTGAAGAACAGTTTGGATAATTATGTTGATTAATCGTTGCTATGACGGTATATTTAGGGAGATTCGAAGTCTTTTCTGCGGGCATGTAAGTGAAAAGTGAAATATACTGTGTTCTGCCTTTTGAGTTGAAAAATGATATTTAATGGATGATGATATTTAATGGCATTTAATCCGAAATAAGTTATCGTTTTAGAGACAAGTATGGCCCGTTGTGGAACCAGAAAGCGAAGACGCATTCATCGCAGAGTCGCACTACGCATTGCTCGAATCTGGCAATTTCCAAAGGGTTCCGCTTATGACGGGAGTCACGTCCGAGGAATCCCTATATTTCATTCCCGGTAGGCAGTCGTGCTTGCAAAATATTTCGCATGTTGATCGCTTTTCTGCGTTTCGCAGATATATGGACCCTACTGGCTGCAGCAGTAGGTTACGACCTCAGCCCGGAACAACTTGTCCCTTCAAATTTCCATCCAATTTCCAATGTAACCCAAAGGGAAGTCGGCCAGCAGATTGCAAACATTTATTTAAAAAATGGAGGAGGTTTTCTCACCAATTTAGCGGCAGTGATTAAGGTGAGAGTGATTTAAAATGGTACATACAAATTGGCAACAGCAGCCGTGTAAAATGACATTGCATGTAATTGCCTACTAAATTATCACAATGTCATGCGCAGTATTTGAGAATTTAAACGAAAATTCTCGGTGGTTACATAATTGTTCTTCTTTTTTCCTAAATTGCTGAATATCTTGAATAGGATTCTTTTAGTTCAACACGGATAACGGATTTGTTAGAAGTGTCCTGAAGCAAGCGGAGCTTCATTCAAATTATGCTCCGGTATATTTGTACCAGTTTTCATTCTACGAACCATCTGCGAGCATTGGAGTACAATTACCAGGAAATGGTAAACATTACGTGGACACTTGTGATGCTTATATACAAATTTTGTATCCCACAGATACCGGAAAGGCAGCACACACTGCCGAACTGAGATACTTGTTTAACATTACCGCTTATCGGGGAAGTGAAGTTTCTGCTGAGGGTCTACTAACTCGAAAAAGAATGACCAAACTATGGAGCAACTTCGCGAAAACCTTGTAAATGCCACGCTCTTTTAGTAGCGACCTTTTTGAGACGATTGTTTCCAGGAATCCCACTCCTCAGGTGACGGAATTGTTTCAAAAGGTCACGTGGCTCCCGATCGAAGCGGATCACCTGACGTATTTAAATATCGACGAGATGATGTCAATGGAGCCGTACCTCAAGCAAACAACTTACCAAAAATGGAACGAAATATTCGACAAATATGCTCAACACCCATTGGTGACTTATTAAGACAATAAAGACAATTAAAGATAAATCGCTTTATTTTACTTTAAATTGCGCAATCACCAAAAAATAAGTCGCGATGGAACCCAACAGGGAAAACATGGTGGACCTTTTGAGTTGGAAAAAGCCCGCTGCGCTCAGATACACTTTGTTGTGGACTGCTTGCTCGATGAGCCCTTGAAGTTCCTGGTATTCTTTCGTCGAGGGTCGCAATCCATGTTGCATCTCAAACGCTATCTTGATGAGGTTATCGGATTCGGTGGTCACCTTGTCGCAGGAAAGAGTCACGAACAAAAGAAGCGCCTGAAAAGATGTAAAAATAATTCCGAAATACACCAAGCAGCTTCGAAATAGTATATTCCCTACTCCAAAATATCATTTTATAAGTCAGCTTCGCTAAATGTTGCTGAATGTTTTGATGTTTATCAGTTTTGATGGTTACGTGACAGGCCACTCAGTAAACGTGCGGTTTCGCAAAATGTATTCAATTCAGCTAATGGTCTATGAAAAGTGTTGTACATATGCTGTTATAAACTCCTTCAGACGTTTGTTTATTGAACCATTATACCACAAATTATATATACAATATAATAACGTTTATATGCAAAAATGTTTATTAACGACACTTTAGTCACGACTTTGTTTAGGATATTAGTTGTATTTTTTGCTAAAAAATCAGCAGTGTTTTAAATATACCAAAAACCTTCGATCGCTCCCAATCCGTGACTAAAGTATGGGAAAAGGTCGAAGCAGTTTGCAACAGCTTTTATTGAAGCTGAATTTTAAACAATGGTTAAATTGGTTATTTTGGTTTAGCGAATCGGGAAAAATTAATTTTAAAATGAAAATTATGCTTCAATATTAGCGCCAGGACACAGTTTTTATGCTCTGTACAAGATGTCCTGTCAAAGCATATTTACATATAAATCGTTTTGACACATACGATAATAAGCTGCAAACTGCACAACTGCCACTGTACAAAGTTCTTTTTGAAATTTGACTTTCGAATATATACTTCACCATTACTACGTTATTTTTCTCCGTTGTTCAATTCTGTCAGAAATTCTAAATAAAGTTAATACAAGGTTACCTATTATAATATGTCCAAATGGAGTTAGGATAAATTTCCTATTTAATAAATAAAATTATGTAAATGAATATTGGATATATAAATATTTATAGTTTCACCCCCAAAAATTTAGAACTGCTTCTTTCCTTCATATGGCTTTGAGTCCGTCACAAAGACGCATTTAAACGTTTTGTTAGAAGCACTGATTTAAAACCATCTATCTACTAAAGAAAGGGTTCAACGAAGGGAAAGTTTTCGATGAAACTTTGTTTTATTTCCAAATCTTATTGAGTTGGAATAATCTGCAGTTGAACGCCTGTACAACTAACGTTTAACTGAAATTTAGAAAACTCCTCCTTAATCTTTAATCTCTAACTAAAATTTAGAAAATTCCTTTTTAAACCATCAAAATAACAAACGGTGATTTTTTTCATTTTTTGCTACTTAATTATTGGTTTTTCGCAACGATAGCGTACACACAATGTACCTACAATCTGAAAACCAATGCCGAAGCTGTGAGCCGACACGTTCATGACAAGGCGATCAGAATTCTGCGCACTCAGCATAATCATATACGCGTTAATCAGTACGCTAACGTTTCCAGCTACCAAAAGCAGCAGTAGCGGCACTCCGAAACATTCATTGATCGAGCGAATGACATCGTTCATCTTAAAGTACATGATTCTGATGCGTCTTATAACGACAACGTCGTTGGAAGAAAAACACATATACTTTTGCCCGACCAGATAACTGCTGATGCGTTGAAACTTCAGCTTGACGTTGTGGATCATGTTCATGTACAGGATGAGGATCATCATCGCGTAATAAAAATCCCAATACATCGAAGTGAACTTTAGCATGTCGCGCTTTGTACGGATGATAAAGTAAGTCGTCATTCCCGCAAGTCCGCATTGGAGGATTAAGTTTTGCACAATAGAATTCCTCCAAATCTTATTCGACTTTCTCTTCTTGATGTCGAGGTACGATGGCGATTCTAAATCCATCAGTTCTTTCAAAATAAACCCCCACTCTGCTCTTTTCGCATAAGAATTTATCATCGCGATCGTTTCAGAACAAACCAACAGCACCACCGTACCGGCGAACAGGATCAGATCGATCGTACTTGACGTTTTCATCTTGTCGATCACTGCTAATAAAAGCGGCGCGTGAATCGCCATGTTGAAAAATGTCTGTGTCAGTACCACGAACCCGTAACATTTTTCGTGGATTAGCGAAGTCGATTTGAAATCGTAGAATGGCACGAGTGCCAAAATATTCAAAAATTTTATCAACGGGTTTAAGAACTCTATGGATTTGCTTTGCGCCATCATACGCGAATGCGAAAAAAATTATGGACACGCGTGCTTGGCGATACAAACATATCGACCGTATTAGATACTTTTCAAGAGGAGGACTTTTATACCAATCTTCTAATGGGTATACTAAGTAATTGCCTTGCGGTGTCGCTTCACTTAACTTCGTGTTGAACCGGGAGCGTATAGTCTAAATTGTTTAGCTTGGGGTATATTTGTTTGCTAAAGTGTAAAACTATCAGCCCTGAATTGCGTAAAAAAGGACATTTCTGAATATATGAATATTTGATAATAAAGAGAGCATTACCGGGTATCCCATTTTGGACACTTTTATGGGGTATATCGGTTACTTTTTTATGGTCAAGTTGTGATTTTGGGAAAACTCCGTATTTCCGTTGTCTTATGAGTTATTGTAGAGTTTAAAAAACGTCCTCCGTTAATTAGTTATGATGAATTAGTATAAAGTTTTTCTTATTTTATTTTATTTGTAGCAGTAGGCCATGATTAATCTATTGAAAACAATGTTCAAGTAAACAATTATTAACATACAAGAAACTCAATACTTTAAATATAAATTGTTTAAATGAGTTTTGTACTTTATGAACAACTATTTATAATAATGTTCAACTTATTACATTAATTAATGTGAAATAACATTATATCTAAAGAAGATTAACATAATTTTACACCTAAAACTGTTGTTTGCAAATGCAATGCAAAACCCTCACATTTTTCTTATTTTTTTAATTGCATTTAAAAGGATTATTGGTCTCCTTCGAAGCGTGTAGAAAGATAAATCAAAATAAATAAGAGCTAAAAGTTCAGATTTTCACAACAGTTGCGACAACACCGTGTCTTTATCAAATGTAATATTTACAAACTACCTGCTACTATATATATACCGAAAAATGACCATAAAACCTTAATTAATGTTGTTGCGAGAATTTAAGTTCAATAAAGGAGAGATATTTAAATCCAATTGATCGTTAAGCAATACATCTGAATGTCTCATTTTGTTAATCTCCATGGCTTCCAATAAATTTAATTTTATACTTTTTGTGGCTGTATGTAATATATCAAAATTGTCGTCAATGTGTTTTTCTCAGTTTCAGTCAAGCTCTGAAGAAGCCAACAGGACGATTGGCGAAACGTCAGCAATTTCGACTAAGCGAAGCAAAAACCGACGCATTAGGAATCCAGAAGTTTTGTAAAAAGCATTACAGTAGCCTGTCGAAGTTTCTTTGAAAAATTAGTTGTATATTATTTATCTTCACGTATGGAGGACCGTTAAATCGACTCCAATAAATGGCATAAAATAAAACAAGAAAATCTCGAAAAATGAAGCATTTATTTAACAAAAATTTTATTTATCAATTAATCGTTTAGAATGTTTTGAACGGTTGTCTGTGCCAGGTATGAAATACGTGATTCCACTTTGAATACATCTCGGATTTCGGATTTTCCAGCACTTCCAGATTGGAACCGATGTTAACGTAGGGGAAACGATCGGGTTTCACCTTGGGCCAGTGAAGATTTTGCAGCAGCTCGTCAGACTGATCAGGAGTGGGATTTCTAGAAAAAATATTAAAACCTAAATTGCATATGGGCGGTACATATGTGGACGTTACTCACAGATATTTAACGAAGTTAGTCCACATTCTAACCATCCTCTTTGTCGTCAATTCGTCCGCCCCGTCGCCTTTTTCAGGATTGGAATCTCTTATGAATAAATAGGCCAAGTCGTCTCCGTGAGCGCACTTACTCTCACCACCTAGATGTATGTGTTCTTAAATAACTAAATGCTAATGCTAATTAATACAATTAAATATATTCGTGTTGTTCGGTAACGGTCGTAGAAAAAGTATAGTATGCAACACGTTCGGCAAACTTTTTAAGTCCCTTGTTTATTAAAAACTCGCTCCGCTTGTGTGAAATAAACTCGTGAGTCAAATGCCGTTTACCGCACTTGTTGCACAATATACTATTGGTATTTATAACTCTCATTATATAATATATAATCGTTGTTTTTTCATTTATATTTCAATTAAAATAAATTTGCAAAAATAAGAACTAGTTTTTTTCATTTCTATTTCTTTTTTTTTCGGAAGAACATTTATCCCACCTAACATATCGAAAGAGTGTCGGTTGAGCGATCCTTTGAATGAAAACTGATAGAAATATACGTCGGTAAATTTCGACTGCATTTCCGCATGTTTAATGACGCCTCTGTTGAACGTCTGATCGCTTCTGAACTGAAAGCGACACACCGTATAAGTTAATCGATCTTTTCGACTAAGGAAAATGTTTTACCCTTACGACGTCGTATAGATTATCGCTAAACTTTCGACCCTTTGCCAAATACATATCCTTGATGTATTTTACAATTTCCGTTTCATTGGCGCCATCTTTCGGTACGAAATGGTACGGATAACAGTAATCCGGAATCGTGTCCAGTCTCTCTGCGTCTGATTCCAGTCTGCCGGGTTCTGAATATTAAAAAATTACGTGCCTAATAAAAAGAAGAATTACAATTTAGTTCATAAATACGTATACATACGTCCGGCAAACAATAGAAATTCCTCGGAGGTGATCCCCATCAAGAGCGGCACTTGGTTAAAGTCTCCTCGCCGCATGAGTTCGTATGGAAACTCAGACAATAACGCCCCCTCGTGGTCGACCTCAATATTAGGTGACAATGCGAACTAAAAGGAACGAGAAATTCGTATTGTTTTCTTCAATGTTAGAAATACTTATCATATGTGTTGAGAGTCAATGCGACAAGGTATCAGAGACAAGTCAGATCCTTGAGGGTTGGAGATGGTAGTCCTAAGACAGTCAATCATACACTAATAGTGTTAGAAACCGGAGGATAAGTCAGTTGTGAAATAAGAGCCCTAAGCCAAATTAGCCCGAGGTCGCCAACTTTGTTGGTAGAATGTAAATGCTAATCCTATAACGGCCCCTGGTGGATGACCTGTATATTAGGAGAGAGCAGTAACTCAAAGGTACAAAAAATTCAGATCTTGAATTTCTAATGAAATACTTTAGTCATATAGGAGTCAGCAATAAGAACAACTGTTTAAGTCAACTATCAAGATGTCTGTTGGAGCCCTAAGATGAGCCGATTATACAATATTGGAGCTAAGATAAATCACTTGTTAAGAAATAAGAGTTCCCAGAGAACTATAAGTTAAGTTAGCACTACAGGTCGTTCGTCAACTTCACTAGCCCAAACATCTTTTAATTAGAACCATATTTTGAATGTTCAGTGCTCAGAAACTTAGGGGGTTGACAATATTCGACCAAAACAATTTTTGAATCGAATTATAGCCCGAAAAGTAAAACTAAAAAGCACAATTTCTTGTGCTAGTCATACCTTTTTCAGTTTACTTACGTCTTCCTTCGGCTCGGTTGCGCCCAGTGTTCCCGTCGCATGTATTATGGAGCTAGCACTGCGTCGCTTCAAAAACTCGAGCAATTGCTCGGAATTGTGACTCTGCGCCGTCACGGAGCTATCTATCAAATTTGCCATTTTGTAAGCGTATTTCCTTGGAGACTTATAAATCGCCCATTCCTCCAACCCAGAACCACTCTGGCAAATGGCTGCCCGAAACAACCCTAAAACTTGAGGGTGATGCGAAATCGAAACTGCCACTAAAACGGAAGTACCTTTGGCCTTCTTGCTAAGAACAAGTAAACCGCACGAACTGCCTCCCGCACTCTGACCCCCGATAGTGATCTTTTGACTGTCCCCACCGAATGCCTCTATGTTTCTATTGACCCATTCGAGACCCAAGAGCTGATCTTTTAGCCCCGCGTTGCCGGGAATCGCTAAATCTTCGGTGGAGAGGAATCCAAGAGGACCCAGTCGATAATTCAAGCTAACAAATATCACTCCTTGGTCGACTAAGTAGTCGGCTCCGTATCTAGAATACTTGGACGTACCGGCTACGAACCTCCCACCGTGAATCCAAAAAAGAACCGGATACTTTGCCTAAATTTGGAATTCTGGTACATCGGTTTAGAGTAATTCAAAATTGAGGAATACCGATTGATCCAGCGACGGGGTGTAAATGTTGAGAAATAAACAATTTTCACTTTGGTCTTCAGGGTTGTGGTTATAGTCAGCCCCGATGCAACTCTTGCCCTCTTTGGTAGCGTCGAATATGCCATCCCATTTCCCAGAGGCTGTGGTAGCCTACAAGGTCATTTTGCATAACCCAATGCTCTGAGGTTATTCTCCCGGAACCATCATTTTACTCAATACTTGGTATTTCGCCAAGTTTATCGTTGCAGTACCAATCAAAGGGTGTTTGGTTTGCTAAATCAATGTACCACGGGCTTAGCTCTGGCAACCCATTTTTTCAGTCATCATTTTTTTTCAGAATAAAGGTGATCTCAAGCAATGGTACAATACGGCAGTCGTGATAAAGTTTTTAAGTAATAGTTTTTTATGGTGTTACAACAACCTCATATATGCCACAGTTTATTTCAATTTTAAATTTAATATAAATTAAATAAAAGTAATAAAAACTAGTAATAGATTACAAATTACTTGTACTTTAACGTGATTTTCCTAAACATCGCATATTATACAAGGTGACCAAATATTAAAGCTAATTAGATAGGACTTTTAATTAGAAATATCAGATAATTTATTTATTGTCGTTAGTTGTTGATTTTGTTGAGATTTCTTTACATTTTGTTGTCTCCTGATTTTTTTACAAATTAGTACGTAACTATGTATCTATATACCTGAAATCTTAGGTCGCCGATAGGTGGGACAGCGTATGGGATACCTTGGAAGGCGTAGAAGGTCTTGTTGGAGGGGCTAGTCAGCGTTTTACCCCTCACCTTTCCGTTCTCGGTGTCGACTAGGATTTGAGCGCTCTAACCGAATTAAATCTAGACCAATTAACGGACAACATCGTTTATATGAATCAAAACGCGCTTACCATAACGATAACAGGAAGTAACAAACATAAATACCGTATTGCCATTTTATAATACGCTTATTTTGTAAATAGAAATGTGGAAAGGTTTTTTGGTATATTTATTATGTGTGCACGGGCAGGATCGGTCCAAGTAATATTTTTCGCTTCCTTGTTTTCATTTAAATCGGCCTATATAATTACAAAAATATCGTGAAAAGTGCGTTTTTTTAAAGGACTATCGGAGTTCTGGTACTGCATTTCGATGGTTAACACTGCAATTTACATTTTTTCTGGGCCGAAATTGTTCTGTCCGTTTGAACCCGACATAACTCCTGTCCCATTTTTGTCGATTCCTTCTTTTGGTTTTGACTGGTGTTTAGCGAAATAAACCTCCTCTGGCAGCGCCATCTGTATGAGCTCTGCTCAATTTTCCACTTTTGTAACTAACAGAGTTTGCACATAAAGATTTAGTAGGACCACTTTTTGAAATAATCCATTCAAAGGTCAGGATTTTCTGCGTACGATCCTGGCTTTCTATAAGTGCCAAACGCTTTGTTTTTCGAAAACTACGATGCCCTTGCATCGGAGCGTATGTAGAGACGATAAAAAATTTTTATTTTACAATAACGGTCTAGGCTAAAATGCAACGCAAACGAATTTGTTGCATCACCATAAAATAAGATTCGAGATATCCAATCAGTTGGTGCTTTGTTTCAAGATTAACGGACATTTTTCTGGCATCCAAGGCTATGGTTGTTTGTTCCCGGCCTTGAACTGTCCGTCTTTTGGTTGGAAAAAATGCCAACAACACCGTTGGGTTGCCATCGTTAAAGTTGAAAGTGTTTGCTTTACTCTTTGTATTTGCCCAAAGTAAGAGACTAATAGGAAGAAAAAAAACATTTTTTTAGTGGAGGTAAAATGTGATTTTGTGAGATAAATCCTGAAAGTGACATTTTTATGCCTAATATTAGGCCAGAAAATCGAAGTTTATATAAATGTTTTGGCCAACCTTTCAGTATTTTGAATTATAATTATTACATCGACCAACCAAACAAAACAGTAAAATGTAGAAATGGAATATTTTGACCCTCTTAAAGGGCGCCGTCCCACATGCTGAGGTTCACTTTATTTTATTTGGATATGTCTCATTTTATTCGTCCTTTGTACGTCTGAAGTATGTTTTTTCATTGTACATGTTCCACTATATCTATTTTCATTTCTGGAAAACAAACTAAAATTTTTTCATTACATTTTTATAGCTTCCTAATCCTGGGGTAATTAAATTAAAAATAAAAACAAAGAAATGATGTAAAATAGAATTCGATTGCACTATTTATTTTGATTGATTTTTCTGCCGTTTAAATTTAATAAATATATAATTTTGCAGTAAAAGTAAAAAGTTTGTCCGCTACTGAAAACATCCAAGCACAGAGAACAATAGACGAAACTAGTATGGTATAGGAGTCGAAATTTATCTCTGTTCCGTCCTGGCCAATAGAAGGCAACATTAATTTAACTTAGCATTTTCATTAAATTTAAGCATTGTGACAAATCAAAATACGTAGATTTTATAATTTAAATTTAAGGATAGAGAAGTTTACAAATAAGAATTCCGACCTATTTCATCCTAGCACAAGATGTTAATGGATGATTTTTCCTGTTAGCAAAAAACAATAAAAAAAATATTTACCTTGATATTAGGGAAAAATGAACAAGAATTTGACTAAACTAACCAATTTTAGCGCTAGAGACCATAAAAAGGATCTGTCAGTGGTCAATGTATGTGGTCCCATTATTTGAAGTGTTCGTGGATTCGGGGCAAAGTGCTGCTGATGTAAACATGCGAACTGTATATTTTTAATGTTGTCTCGCGTGTTCACAGGATGTTCGCGAAAATGCTTTAGATGTGTGATATCAACGTTTGATAAAACTAGGTCAATCTTCGGCAGATTGAAAAACTCGAAGCTACATGGTGTCTCCCGAAACTTGTTTTATCTATAACTAATTAAAATTTATCGATTTACATCGATTATTTTTCACAAAAAACTTGAACGTGGTAGTTAAACATTACGCTGCATTTCACGCAGATTATTTAATCCGCGCTTAAGGTTTGAAAATGAAGAAAGGTAAGTCATAATTTTACCTATATTCATTGGGACTTAATTAATTCCATTACAAAAAATATGCAGTTTATCAAATAATGAATTTATAACGAGGTGTTAAGAATGCATGTTTGTTTTTCCAAAAATGATATTTGTTGTTTCAAGGCAAAACTAAGTTGACTGCTAAAACATATTACTTTTATGTTTAGAAACTATACCTGCTCAGAAAAATTAGTTCACCTTTGTAAATAAACATTCCAGAACATCAATTTGCCTTGTGAACATGTGTTTTTACAAGGTGCAGAGAAATTGTTGTATTTTCCCAGTTAAGTCACTTAACTACTTGGTAATATTGTAGGACTTGCAGTATATGGCTCCCCACAGCTGTAGAAGTTGTCTGCACTATATGATGACCGGCAGAATGTCAAAATCAGAAGATAAAGCTCGTGAAGCACAAGTGAATGGCTTGATGCATGATGCATCTGACTTTCCATGTAAGGGCTTTTATGTTCCTATGAGTAGTAAGCAATTTGTGTTAAATTATTTATAATTAACATATTAAAGTATACCTACTTACAAGCAAATTTTACAACCAATCAGCTGTGGTGTAAGTAACTTCCAAAGTAAATTACCGAATATTTCACATGTTGTGCCAATATTGTTTGCAAAAGCCACTATTATAACAGGTAAATTTTTGCAAGTCACACCTTTTTTATGCCAGTATGTAATAATAATATTCTTTGCACAGTTTACCGCACAGTTAAGAGAACAACTTTTAAATTACTAAAATTACTGATTAAGTGCACATAAATTGTTTGTTTTTACGTTTTATGGGTCATTTACCCAGGTATTTAAGTTTGCAAAAAAACGCTTTGCTTATATTGAAACTAATTCCTTTGGTTGGTTTTGTAAAGAATAAAAAAACTTAAAAGGTAAGTTTTATTTTTGGAATGAACAACCGAATATATTTGCATATATTTTGGATTGTGAATAAAAAATTTTTTTTTGTTAAATTTAGATATTTCCGATGTTGCAACATCCGGATTCCTCTACAATGTGTTTAAATAATTATGCAAATATAAGAAAATACCTGGGCGTGCTACCCTTATTTAAAAGGTCTTATGTAACACGTCAATATTAACAAATTCAGATTTTTACGTTTCCGTTCTTCGCATATCTAATGTGGTTGAATTATTCGTTCATTGATTATTCTATTGTTTCTGTATTTCAAAAAATTACATGCGCGCGTGAATTTATGTGTATCTTAGACTTTTTTTGTATTTATGTATAGCGATGCCCTGGTTTGGAATGGACATAGGGGGTTCTCTATGTAAATTGGTGTATTTTGAACCTAAGGATATGTGTAAAGGCGAATCCGAGTCGGAAATTGAAATTCTGCGGAATATAAGGAGGTATTTAACAAAAAACTCGGCCTATGGGAAAACAGGACACAGGGATATACATCTCCAGGTAAGGTAAAAAACTTTCCTAGAACTAATAATTATAATTGTGAAAACTACATTCCACTTTTCCATGAATTTAGGTAGCGAAAAATATTTATAGAAGCTCACCAGCATTATCTTTACTAAGCCATTTTAATATAAAGTTAATGCTTATTTAGATAAGATTAAATGTCGAAAATTAATCAAACTGTGACCAGCAGCTAAAAAACAAATATCCTTGAAGTTGACCTTGAAGCTAAGATTTCGATTTTTAATAATAGCTAAGGCTCATGGAGGTACATTTTTTTGAGAAATATGGGCCCATCGATTTTAAAGCAAACTAACCAATTGTTAAAGAATAATTAATTTTCCTTTTCAGATGGACAATGTATGTATAAGAGGTCTTATTGGCACTTTGCACTTTATCCGATTTCCTACTTCGGAAATGAAAAATTTTCTCGTGCTTGCTAAATACAAGGGCATGGCCAAACTGGTGACCACTGTATGCGCTACAGGGGGCGGCGCCTACAAATTCGAAGAAGACTTTAAAAAAGTAAAGTTGCCCCCCTAAAATTTTGGTCTTGTTTTAATTCCTACCTTAATTTTAGGAGGTTAATTTGAAACTCGCTAAATTCGACGAGTTCGAAACGCTTTTAAAAGGGCTCTTGTATGTGGACAAGAATAACTCCAAAGAGTGCTACTATTGGGCCGAGCCCACAGACGAGACCAAGTGTGCCAAGGTTAAATACGATTTTTCCAGTCCCTATCCGTTTTTGATTGTCAACATCGGGTCTGGGGTCAGTATTTTGGCCGTCTACTCGTCCAGCAATTATAGGCGAATATCAGGAACGAGGTTAGGACACAGTAGTTTGGCGCAGTTGGTTCTTAAATGTGGTATTTCAGTATCGGCGGCGGCACTTTTTTGGGGCTTTGTTGTCTCTTAACTGGCTGCAACACCTTTGAGGAGGCGATCGAATTAGCGGCTGAAGGTGATCATACTCACGTCGATAAATTAGTTAAGGACATTTATGGTGGAGATTATGAAAAGTTTAAGCTTCCGGGGGATTTGGTGGCAAGCAGGTGAGAAAACAGAAACAGAAGTTGGAGAGAAGTTATACATTATGAGAAAGCAACTTTTGTATTTCATAAAATCTCAATTACAAACAATGGTTTAGATAGCGAAATATAGCCATTTTTGTAGTTTTGGTCAGATGAATTCAAGAGACAGGAGAAGCAAAGTGAACAGGCAGGATCTGGCTCGGGCCACACTGGTTACAATCACTAACAATATCGGTTCCATAGCAAGAATGTGCGCCATACAAGAGAAAATTGATAGGGTAAGATTGTTACTGTAAATTTCCAAGTGAACTCTAAAATGTTGGCCCTCATTTTTTCAGGTGGTATTTATAGGCAACTTCCTAAGGGTGAATCCCATAGCGATGAAACTGCTGGCCTCGGCCATGGACTATTGGTCCAAGGGAACCATGAAGGCCCTGTTTCTAGAACACGAGGGATATTTCGGGGCTGTGGGATGCCTGTTGCAGTATCACGCGGAGACTAAGAGCTGAGACTATGGGAAATGTGGCCCCGACGGCTTGCCTTGCGGATTTTATTGTTCTTTACAAACATTCCGATCTGTTTCATGTAAATATATCTTACGGGGATTTGGCAACACATAATTTATCATTAATTAATCATTGTACCCTTAAGAACATTATTAAAATGTTTTTGAAGTTTTATTGTGATTTTATTATTTCAACTTGTCATTCTGTCTATGTTGGCAAAGGTTTCGGTGTAAAAAATCAGGCAAATTATTGAAAACTTTATTAAACTGGACCGAACTTAATGGCGATGCTTAAATAAAAACTTTGTAATCCTTGCCTGCGCTTTGGTAGGAGTCAAAGTTGAGAATGTTGAGATTTTGGTCAGTCGCGGCAAATAAACACACTGAGTCGAAGGCCAAACTGTATACTGGAGAGCTTTGCTGCTTACCGCGACAAGAATTCATAAAGAATAGCTAGAACAGAGTCAGCTGTTAATACTTAAACCTAATGAATTTCAACTAGTAATTGGCACCACATTTAGACCAACCTGGATGCACTGTTTGTGCCGCACATCCCAGAGGACAACCCTGCCATTCATATATGTCCCAACCATGACAGTGTTGTAATAGTCATAGTCCAGGCAATATAAATTATAATGGAATGGATCTTCAAACTCTTGCACGACTTTACCAACTCGCAAGTCCCACTTTTTCAATTTGTCCATTCCGCATGACCAAATGATATTAGGACCATCCCATTTAAGGTCCAGAGTACCACAGGATTTGCAGGTGTTTTCCAAATCTACACATTCCTCAAATCTAAAGCAAATAATATTCACCTCATTCAGTCCTATTAAACTACCTCTCCAAATCATAGACAGAAACAGATCTGTGACGGTCACTGATTGCTGATGTTCCAATGGCCAAACGGCTTCCATCATCATTGAAGGAGACACACCAAGGTCGATCACAAACTCGCTTTGAAAGACAGTCGTCTAATTCTAACAATTCTTCATTTCTAATAAATCTGATTTTCAAAGTATTATCTCTGTGAGCTGAAGCTACAAATTGACTACAGAAATCTACTGAATATGTGTAGGAAGTCCCACTTTTCAAACAAAATACATCTGAATTTTTTAATGATTGCAGATAAACACCTCCATCACTAAAATAATGTTTGTTGCAATCAACTGAATGTTTATTCACAGGTAATTATTGGTTTGCTTTTAAATTTATACATCAATTAACTTACCTAAGTCCACTCACTAGCAAGTCCGCTTTTACTTGAAATTTGGTAACGTCTGCACGGCCATTTGGATAAACTACTTTGAATGGAGTTTGATTAATAAAATTCTTTGACCGCTTGTAAACATAAATTTGCTGCCCTCGACTAAACCATAAAAATTTTTGATCCAAGTGAAGCCAAGGCATGTACTTTTTTTTTACGTGGAAATACGAATATTCCTTATACTTTCCCTTGATCCAGTTGCTTTCAACTCTAAGCTTTTCTAGTTTTGTCTTAAATCTCTCCCGACATCTAAAATAAACTTTTTCTTATTAGAAAATTGACAGCCACAGCTTACCTGGTAATAAAAAGAGGACTTATTTGATTCGTCACTAAAGGAGCATGCCCTTTTATTATAGTATTATCCCAGGAACCAATAAGGTTGTGGAACCTTAAGCAAGTTTCTTTTAGGTTGCATATGTCTTTAATACTAAGGAAGCTGAATATATAAATTAATAACTCATTTGAAAGTTTTTCTATTATGCAATCGTTATCGTACATAACATTCGCAATAATTATTAGTATTAGCAAAATATTTTCAAATGTTTAACTTGGAACGGACCACTAATATTGATAAGGGGACCTTCTTCTTTTCCTCTTTCATAAACTGGACATATGGCCAAAATACAGCACCTAGAAGAAAAATTCCAACTGGCCAAAATAACCAAACAATAAAATCTAATTTTATTGTTTATAAGTTTGCCACACGACGCACCACTCGTTTAATATGCAACTTCCCGAAAGTAAAAATAAATTCGACGTGAAAAAAGTACAGCAAATGTTACGGAATGAAAACAAGTTTATAACGGATTTGCTCGCAATTGCCGCCATACCAAACCGAGGAGGTAAGGGACTCAATATTTTGGATTTGGAGTTTAATATCGATTTTTGCGTTGTTTAGACTTTCAGCAGCCTGAATTAGACCAAGGCATAGAACAAACGTTTAATAGTGTGAATAAAAAGTCGCGAGCTAAATCACTTCAGGAGCTAGAAGAAAGACTGAAAGCATTAACCAGTAGAAAGAAGTTATCATACAAAGAGAAACTTGTTAAGAAAGGACTTAAAAACCGAATGAAGAAAAGAAATAAACAGGATGAACGGAATTCCCAATCAAAATTAGAAAGGGCAGCTAAATTAAGCTCTGAAATTGGTCACATTAAAACTGAAGAACATCCAGATAATAAACTAATATTTAACAGTGGCGATAAAATTGTGTTTTCAAAGTTTGATTTTGCAAATTTAGGTAAAAAGAAATCCAAAAAACAAGAAAAGGATCCCAAAAAAATCTTAAAGCAGTTAACAGATGAAAAAATCACTTTAAATGCATTAGAGAAAAGTGGAGACACAACCAAAGTTGTAGCTATCAAAGAACATAGGGCATGGAAAAATGCATTAGCAAAAGCTGAAGGGCAAAAGATCAAAGATGATCCTACTCTACTAAAGAAAACCATTAAGAGGAAGGAGCAGAGGGTAAGATCTAGTAAAAAAAAGTGGGAGGCTAGGATAAAAGGAGTAGAAAATGCTAAGGAAGAGAGGCAGAAGAAAAGAACAGAGAATATCCAAAGAAGGAAAAAGGATAAAAAAGTTAAAAATTTGAAAAAAGCTGCAAAAAAAGGAAAGATAATTCCTGGATTTTAAATCTATTTTAAAATTGTGACAAATAAACACTTACTAGATTTAGTGGAATTTTATTTTTTATTTACAAAAATTCGAGTAATATACCCACCTATAACATACCTAAAATCCTAAGAGATTTCTCACAAGTCAAAGTTTTTTTAAAGTTAAATTAAATTTAAATACCCATTTTGAATATTGAAAGCAGTACTTGCCATGTCAACATATATAGGACGATAAAATTTTTGGCCCAAAATATAATTCCAAAGAATATTCCAGCAAGCCAAAATCACACAAATGGTAAACAATCATATAACAATACAGTTTCCTGTGCTGGGAAAACCCTATAAACACTTCTAAATACTTTTTTTTTGGGAAGAACTTTAGAGGAAGTGTACATCTACAATTTACTTATGCCTAGTATGGAATATTGTTTAATAAATTAACTTTGTTAGAGTCTATAAGGCATTTTTATTGCAAAACCCTACATCTAGTTTTGGTAATTAAATTTGTCTAAAATTTCATACAAATTAAAGCCTTGTCGGGCTAAACTCTAAGACCTAGGTCAGTAAAATCTGGTACCTCTATTAAATTTAATACTGATGGAGAGTCCTTTGCTAAACTACTTTAAAATATCTAATTAATGTTATTATTTGACTAGAAAAGTTGAATTTGAGGATCACATTGTTATATTTAATCAATTTTTTTGGTATGTATGATTTTTCCTACAATCAGATCTTCAGTTGGAAAGTCTAATATAACCGAGATATGAAAAGCTACATTTGCAGCTGTTATTATGTATTCACTCAATGAGAAGATGCTAAATGCTGAAAGTGGATCATATGTGGAACTAACTTAGCCAAAGAATACCATCAGCTCACCCAATCTCATGCAGTACCAACGGTGCAAGTAGAAGAAACCAATTAATGTAACAGTGCTGAATAGAGACATTATCAACAAATTCTGTTTATATTTGAGTCCTTCTTTAACTAAATGGAGATCTCTTCTGGTCTCTGCTGCAAATTTAGTACCCTGAATGCAAGCTATCATGTGTCCCAGACTGCTTATCATAAACATTATGAAGAGCTTCTCGTGCATCGCTATTGAAAAATGTATTAGCAAAAGTTTGAGCATCTCAACAAGTAACTTACGATAATTTTCTACATTAGAAATGTATGTAACTCCACACAAAGCTCCAGTTTCAATGAGATTAAGAATGTATGCCAAATTCAACCACATTTGTGCTCTCATCTTATTCTGACAAAAACCAATAAAGGTTATATTCAGTCATATTTTAGAAATTTTTACATACCTCGAGTGGAGCAATGGCTTTTATGGAATTAAGCTGATATGCATTGTACACTGCACAAATTATGACTCTGGGACCTACATGAAGAGCAATACTAATTCTCCATATATAACGCTGAGGACTTATTCCCGTTACAGCACTTATGGAAGGAATTATATTAAACACCTAAAAAATATATGCTAAAAATTCTTCACTATCTATTTTGAAACCAACTTGGCAATGAGACTCGTGTACATCATCATACTGGAATACCACTGCTGATATGACACACACTATCAAAGCTATTGACGGGATGGAGACCGTAACGAGACAAACACATTTAAAATTCAATTTGTAGTGTACAATTAGTTCCTTTTTCGTGTTTTGGGCTTTTTCAATTAAGTCCCCATCTCCCTCCATAGAGACAGTTCTACAATTATTGTCATTGTCTGATTTTGTCATTCTAAAAGACTAAGCAAGTAACCCAGTTTAACAGTGTTGCGAATAAAAGCGTACATAACCCATCGTGCTGGTTCCCTCCATTTAAAAATGAGAAGTAAATAAAATACATGAAATTAATTTAAATTGACATCATTTTCTAACATGACATTTGTTCAAATTTTGATCAAAATATTGTACTTCTACTTCTTTATGAAAGTCCAATAAATCTAGTACAAACTGCTAGGATCAGCCGTCCATTCCGACAACCGTCAATTTTTTGGTGTTACACACGGTGCCGTTCTTTCAAGCACAATGTGCTTGATGTTTCGATTTTATTTTTTTTTAATTTTGACCAAATAAACGATACTTTTTTATGTACGGACGTTTCAATTAAACGACTAAACTTTATGAAAAAATATGTTTACCACCACATGCGAGCATAGATCTAATACTAACGGATTGACAACACAAGAAAGATAGCGAGAATCAGCTGATTATGGAGAGAGAGGAACAGAAAATTGCATTTGAACTGAGGTGGCTTTTACTTGATGAAAATCCATTTATCAAAATAAATAAGAACTACTTTTAGTTCTTATTTATTTTGAAAATACATTTGCTCTTGACTGGGCTTCTATGCTGTGGTCATTCGTCCATTTTCCGGCATCCGCCGAGGATTTTTTTTTTGGTCACAGACCAACACATAAAAGGCATTATTACCAACATTTATTCTCAGCTGGCAAAAATGCATTTTGATGGATACCAAACAAAACATCCGCACACTTTTAAAATATACTCCAATACTTTCAAAACAAAATTCACACAAAAAGAAACCGATATCAGAACTTTTTGGGACTATTAGAACAGATTCGGCAGGGTGGGAGCGGAGATTAAACCGCCATGTGCAATGTTCCACCACAGAATTAGCTGGTTATCTACAAATATCATAATTTTATTATATTTCTTTGTATCGTTTTTTTTACGCCGTGCTCAACTCAATTCGGATATGCATCCATTTTCCAGCATCCGCCGAGAAAAATTGACCGATAACAATTTTTCACGCACACAACACCCATGGCCCCGGTGGGAATCGAACCCACAAATTCCTAAACTCGGCCTAGTTGGGGTTGGTGTAATGTAAATGGCTTAACTTTCGTAGATTAAAGCCACTAAAATTATTTTTCCCTCAACCAATGCCGCTAATAAGCGAATGATCTAGTATTTTTACTCTGTCATTATATATGACCAATTGGGGTTTGTGGTTTCAATTGACAATATAACTACATAAATAGAATAGGGCGTTAAATGTTTAACAGTGGTCCAATGTTGTTCTTGACTTTTTGCACTTTAATTGTTTATAAATAAGCAGTAAGTATTTGTTCAGTTTTTGTTATTGCTGTTGTTTAGCATAAATATGCGTATTTATATTATTTGAAAATATGTACATGTATAACTTGGCAACAATGGATTAAAGTCAAATATTTAGCAGCATCTCATACATGTGGTTATAGTTTGTGTTTTTGGTAACTGGATATTTGTTTTGGTTGCCAGTAATTTGATTTTAGAAAATATTTGAACGTATTTAAATTCTGCGAATATGTTATATTTGGAGGATTATCTTGAAAGTAAGTAAAGCATACTAAGTTATCAAATTCCTACACTGAGTTGGATTACTCTTGTTGCTTTAGTGATTGAGCACCTTCCCCAGGAGCTCAGAGATCGATTTACAGACATGAGGGAAATGGATTTGACTATACACAGTACGTAATTGTCTTGAGTTATTTGCAGTTGTGTTGATATTTCCATGCCTATAGATAATATGGATGAGCTAGAAAAACGAGTAAAATTATTCTTCAGCGAATGTAAGAGATATCAAAATCAGGAATTGCCTCAAAATGTTGATGACGAATATCAAGTAATTAGAAAAGAATACTATAAAACTCTTGAGGATGCAGATGAAAAGGTTCATTTAGCAAATCAAATGTATGACTTAGTGGACAAATACCTTAGGCGGCTGGATTCTGAGCTTCACAAGTTCAAATGCGAGTTGGAAGCGGATAACAAGGGCATTACAGAGGTGTTGGAAAAACGATCTTTGGAACTTGATACTCCAACTCTCGGTTCAAATATTTCCTCGCAGCAGAAGGAAAATAGATTTGAAAGTGTTTCATCAAACAGTTTTCGTTACAGTAGGCCCAGGAGCGAAAAGAGGAGGGATAGCAGTACTTCTATTACTGTGAATCAGTATCCTGAGAAGCGTCAAGCAGTAGCGCCCTCACCAGTTATTGAGGCAAGACACACAACTCCTGCCGCTCCTACAGTAACTCCGGTGACTTCAAATATTTCCTATAGCTTGGGGCATAACTTGGGTGCAGGTAATGCCATTGCGGCAGCCGCGTCTCAAGCTATCGCCGCTACGCAGCAGGTGATTTACATGGTCAACATTTTGAGGTTATGTTTCATTAATTATGTCAAAGATGCAACAAGGAAGGAGGACGGCTAGCCTAAAAGCTTCCTATGAGGCTATAAATACAGGCGGACATGGTCATGAGTTTATTCCAAGGGAATTGGCCGGTGCGGCTCAGACTGCAATTCAGGCCATCCAGCAGGACCATGCCAACAACAAAAAGAAACAAAAGTACGTTTGCCAATCGAAAAACACGATCTCTCGTTTGTAGAAATGTTTTCCAATGAAGTTCTAGGAAGTGGAGCAGTAATAATTCAAGTTCGTCATCGTCTACTTCAGCAAGCGCTGCTGCAATAGTACAGCCGGTGGTGGCTACACCCGTCGTTCCTCCTGTGGTTGAGGTACCTGTTGTGGAGGCAGACGCTTCAAACGCCGAAGTAACAGACGGCGAATGGACTTATGATCCTAATGAGCCGAGGTACTGCCTGTGCAACCAAGTATCTTACGGCGATATGGTCGCTTGCGATAATGAAGACGTAAGTAGTTCTTCTTCGTTAATTACATTAAATATTAAATGTGCTCTCTCCCAGTGTCCATCTGAATGGTTTCATTACCCTTGCGTGGGTATTACCGCCCCACCTAAAGGAAAATGGTTCTGCCCCCAGTGCACTGCCACTATGAAAAGAAGGGGTGGTAGGAAAAACTGAGCGTAGAGTAACTGAGCGAGCCTGTAGCTTCAATATTAATTCAATCTGAGATATTCGATATTTCCTTTAAGTCTTAATGTAGTCTAGAACTTCCATTACCATAGACTAGAAAGCATGTAGTACAATTGTGTTTATATTTTAGTTATGTATAAATAAAAACAATAATATTACCAGTTTTGAGTATTTTATTGTTGACATTCCTAGGAAGTGTGTGTCTCTGCGTTATTTTCTTTCTTTCAATATGTTGGGAAAAAATGTCATCTGAACTCAAAACTAACGATTTTTTTAACGAATTACCTAATCACGCAACGTTTTCGCGATGAAGGGGTACTGTCGCAATAGTTTCATGCAACTACCTCACAAACCATAAACGCATAGGGCATGGTTTTTGCAAATTTTGCGAAACAAAAATATATCAAAATAATTAGACAAAAACAAGGAGAAAATTTTATAATTCTTGTATAGATGATAACTCTCATGGTGTTACGCCATAACGAATTATTGAAAATAAGTCTGGGACTGCAACGGGTACATTTTCGTGATCGAATTCACTTTTGGTTGATTTTGAAATGAGACAGATCAACGGTAAACTCGTGACCGAATTGACGAACTGTCTTCGGCCATGTTGATTCTTGAAAGTTGCTTGACTTGAAATGATTGGTTCCTGTGTATATTCCATGTCCTTGTAGCCATGTCAATTGACCGAAATAATTTTATAAACAATAAAATTTATATTTATTTATTTATATTTTGCAATTCATCGCTAGTGCGTTGTTCCGAGAACAAAATGGGGTGGATATTATTATTGAGATTGCCCGAATCGCTAAGTATCATATTCGGGTATTCCTTGAAGAGGGTTATAGTTAAATTCGACATCACAAACGCATAATAATTTATTATAAAACGTATATTATTATTATTAAATAATGACAGATAACACCTAACACATAAAACATTGTGATCGAATTTGACTAGTCAATTAAGAAGTAATCAATTGTCGGTCAATTGACAAGCCCCAACACTACCTATCTCAGATTTATGCCTGTAACGACGCTTTTATAATGTTTTAAAATTATTTATAGTACTATAGTATTAAGGAATAGATGGTTAAACCTGCATTTTAATTGAGAATGCATTGAGAAACAGAAAAAAAAACACAATACCTATGTGTTTTGATAGATTGTCCAACCAAACTGAGTCCAGTTTGATCAACAAAAATTATGACAAATGTTTTTGTTGATACCATCGATTCGTTTTCAACTTTTCAAAATCTAAAAGTTTATTTTACAGTGGTCATCAAGTTTTAAGCATTTACCAAATATTGCGCGCATCCACCCGTCGTCAAGATATTTCTTTTCTTTGTGAGAATGAGAGCGAGTGTTTAATTAACAATAATAAAAGTTTATGGTTTTGGTATTAGCATATTTTTTTGATATAATTACGATAAATACTTGTGTTCCGAATTGTAAGGGGAATTCTGTTTGCAAATCATCTGGATTCCTCTTGCGCCGGTCTTTGATGAATCGAACTTTCTGAAGTTTCGCCAATCATTCTCTTGTCTGCTTCAGAGCTTGACTGAAAGTTCGATTCATAAAAAACCGACCAAGGAGGAATCCGTACGATTTGTATTACCGTAGCCTGTAGAAGTTTCTTGCAAAATTGTAATTTAAGTACTACAAGATGTTCTAGCAAGTTAAACGTTTTCTAATCTTATTTATTTTATGCTACGTGAGCTTCATTTTCTACTCTACGAAATTGAAAGAATTTGTAACCTACACTGTTGAATCAAGTACTAACAGCTAATTTAAAAACATTTCGTTTGATAGAAAGTAATTTTTGTTCATCAAGTTTTTATTTAGTGCTAATAATTCAATCACTGCTAAAGGTGCAGGACGCTCTATTTTATCTGTTATTTAATTATATATTTATTTGTTGTATTTACAGAGAACGAGAGAAAATTTAAAAATGCTTATCAACCATATCTCTGTTAATTTCTTGACCATTTTTGCCTATTCCACATATTCTACAATTGAAACGATTTTTGTATCCCCTTTTACCCATATTCGGTAATATGACCGCCAGGCACCAGATATTCCTTGATACATTGAATACACTGAACTCGTGTGACATTACCATCATTAATTTAAGCTCACACTGTGACAGAATTGACAAACGTCAAAATACAATCGGTGCCGAAATTCTACAGAAAACATACAATCGCTTCCAAATCCGTGTCTAACGTACCGGAAAGGTCCGAAGTGGCTAACAAAGCCACACTTTCCGCGGGTTCGAACAATTTTCTTGCTTTTTGAAAAAAAGACGGTTTAACTTGCTTACCCTTCTGGGTTAACCTTAAATTTCGTTAATACCATTTTAATATAAATTATACAGGCACGGAGCAGAAAAGACGGCAAGGCACTTTGTGCAGAAGTAAAAGTATAGAAATACGACACATCGGATATAATAGAAGCGAATGATTGCGATTTGAATACTCGTGGTAAATAGTCACTCTTAATTTTTACCGCTTCATCCCTGCCACATGCCCGGCTAGACCAAATAAACGGTCTAGACCAAAAGCCCGTCGAACCCGATCAATTACCGTTACGTTTTAGCACATTATGGGTCTCTCGGATTACCTATTCGTGTGTTTGATTGGTGCGTTACCGGGTATGTCATTTTTCGATGCATTTTTCATCCCGCAGTCTTGCACGTTCCTGCTTTCACCCGCTACATTCTTTTTGGTTACATTGCGGCCTTATTTAAATAACGCGCTTGGATAATTTGATAATTTGGTAGTGGTGCATATAAAATATACTACATACATATCGTTCCAGTCGCGTCGTATTTATCTTGGAATTAATTTCAATTAATTAATTTTCAGCAATTTCATTAACATGTTCATTTTGGAGACAAGATAACAAGAATTAAATTATTAGGAATGAGCAAATTCAGAGAAAATAAAAATGACTAGAATAAACAGGATGTGTGTGAGTACCGAAGCCTTTTTCCGTATATACTTCAGAATTAAGTAATTTTTAGAGCTTTCGGATTAATTAATATAATGGAAGTGCCGTATATGTATGAAAATTTTAACTGTTATTTTTATGTTGCCATTAAAAGGTTATAGGCTAAACACGCGTTGGTTAATAAATATGTCCTGTTTCAAAACATTTAAAAAGAACAGACATTATGAATGCTATAATAAATTTAGCAATTACAATTAGTAAAATAATTCGTATTTATGTTATGTTTATGCGTAATTTCATTTAAAGTATATCTCGTATGACCGGCTTAAAATTGCAGAACATTTCTAATCAGTACATCAAGTGAAATATTAAATTGGATGAGGCAATGTAACAAATATTGTTTTAAAAAATGTCCAAGCTCAGACATACCAAAGGTTTATCAGACTGAAATAATTAAGACACCTAATTGTTTTGCATAAATCATGAAAAAAATAAAATAAAAAGGGAATATCTTTTGATTTAACGTTTTTAAACAGTCAAAAATAAAAAAAAGTATTATTGAGGAAAATATGTTATTGTAGTCTTCTACGACAAGCTGCTCAAGTGGAACGTATTCAGTAGCTGATATCAATCTTGCGTTGTACCAGTCTTTGTTTGACTTCTATGAATGTTTCGGAAAAGAGGTACAAAAAGTGACACACCCAAAAAAAAGAAAACAACAAGTCGATTAAGTAAACATTTCGCAGGAAAGTTATTTATACCTGAATAAAGTTCTCCCAAGTGGATAGATCACGTCAAATATGGATACAAGACAATAAACGGCATGAATAGACCGGAAAAAAAGTATGTTATGCAATATCGTGCTACAATAAAAAACTAATTTCCAGCACATCATTTGGCAGTTGGAAATTAGCAGTTATTAACAATAATCGAACTTGGATATCAAAAATGACAATTGGACTGAAGTGCGGTTTCAAAATACTTGTCTATGTGAGAAAAGTTTTATTTCCCATCTAATAATACGCGGGAAAATATTCGTTGGAAACTTTTTTAAATAGGCCAGATATAGAAAGTCAAAAAATATGTCTATTGTGTTTCTATAGCGGCCATTTACATTTCGCACTGTCGTGCGCTTATGAGCCTTTCACTTTTTGATTTTTTGTCTATTTTGCCATTTAGTAAAATACGTTGCATGCGAGGTTTGTCCGTTGCCAAATTACCGACTGCCGGTAAAAAAAATGGACGCCGCTGATTAATGGGTTATTGCTTGTAACATGGGTGACCCGGATCTAATCTACAGCAAAATATCAGCTTTTTACTCTTTTGAACTTGACATCAATTCGTTTTGATGTTTCATTAGGACCGCCCGCTGTCATTTTCGAGGGGGCCAACTTTCAGCTGTTTCCAATCAGCAAGCTAAAGTGTCACCACATCGATCCGAACAGAGACATCGCGTTTCATCTGTACACGAGGTAATTTTAGGGCCCATTAACAAATTAACGAATGTTTTGATGAAAATGTGAATCGAAAGCGAAACCATGCTAGGAATGGTGTTCGGTGAAAATATAGGTGTTAAAATAGGTTTCTAAGTACGTTCTTAGACCTAGAATTTGATGCTATACTTCTTGAGGAAAAGCGTATTATTTAACTTCTTAATATTTAAATTTATAATCTTTGAAGGAGAAAGAAATAAAGAACTTTATCAAACAGTCATGTAAGTTTTACAAAACAACAAATGGTAAGTTAGCAGATAATATCACAATCGGATTGGAAACTATCATAATAGTAATAACCAATTTATTTGTCAACATTTAATCACAAAGCATTTAACAGAAATTGTTCTAAAATTACATGTCTAAGTTTGGCCCAGGTCTAACCTTTGACTACTCTATTGAACCCGAAACAAGGACAAACATGATTTTTAATATTATCTTAATCGATGTTAAAATTGTCCGAGCGAAGCATTTTTCTTTTATACATTATAAATCCAATTTTCATTAATATAAAAAAAAGATTCATTGACTTATAACAAACAGAGACAAGTTTTTAAGATTTCCGAGTTTCAGTACATTAGTAGATTTAAAAGATAGTTTTGATGATTAGTTTTACGTTATTTCTTAAGTTATTCTAACAGAAACGCATACTAACTGACGAGTTATGGTTATTATTTACTACATTTACCAAAAAAGTATACTGTTTCTACAAAAGCTATGAATTGTTGAGGTTAAAGAGGACCAATGATTCACTAATATCCCGTTTTAGTTGGTGGCTGAAAATATGTGCGTTTTTATATATACAGTGTATCGCAATCAACTACTTATTTTACAAAAAATAATCGTTAAAAATATGTCCCTCCTGGCAGACTTCCTCCGAAAATATTGTGTTTAGACTTTGGCTCCTAAAATATTCCAAGTGTATGCAACACATACATCCTAGAAGCTGTCTTTTTTTACGTACATAAAAATAAAAAAACCACGACATTTCTTGAATAAGTGATTAGTTCTTTCATTGCAACTGAAAATGGTTCCTGCAATTTGCATTAGTTTCTCTTAATGCTACTTTTCCATAAAATAGGTTTTTATTTTTAGATGCATTTTTTGACCAGAATTTATCATCATAATTCCTGTACTTTCCACAAATATAATTAACATTTGAGAGTTTATTTTTATGTAAAGTACTAAACTAATCCTAATTTAAACACTAGTTTTGTAAGAAACTATTAAGGCGCTTTTATTTTTGGTTAATTTTTTTTTTAAATCGAACTAACCAGAAGGTATTCTATAAACAAATTAATTAATTTCGTTAAATATTAGCTAAATAATTTTTAAAATAAAATCTGACTAATTATTTATAACGCGTTGGAAAGTATATTCGAATTAAAGTATGTTACGAAAATATAGAACGAATTTCGCGCTTGCGTAACAAAAATTCTCAAGAGAGATATTTTCCAACACACCGCTAAAATATACGGATAGGAACGTTTCCCGCGATGGCGAGAACTTTCTCACAAGTCTTTTACTTATGCAATACCAACGAATTAACATTCAAACGAAATTGCGATTATTGCTTATTTTGTCCGCCGATATACGATTTCAAATTAACGCATATAAATATCGCCAGGACACCGTAATTACCCGCGACTGTTGCTTTGACCGTATTTATATGTAATTTGATGAAATATTATTTTAAACGAGCAACAAGGACCGGGCTTAGCAAGAAGCAATAGAGAAATTAATATAGCATTTTTAATTTTCGTTGATGCCATACCTCTTAAGCTGTTATAGGGGCGCTTGAATTATGAGAGTATAATGAAATATTAATGTTAAAGAATAGAGCAAACACTACATACAACACATTTTTTCACTATCAAGTTTTTCTTTACGTTACATCTTCTAACAAAGGTTTTCTTTAGGTTGAGTTTACCAATATTTTGGACAGTATTTTTAAAGAAGTTTATTTCCTCCCTCGCAACATTTGAGATCTGCAGATTATTTGCCTTTTTTAGACTCGGATGGATTTGGAAATAAATATGAATGCCAAAAACGTCCCACAAGGCGCAGGTGGTGGGGATAACGTCATAGATATATCACTAATTAATATTTTTGAATGAATTTTTTTTATCCATTACGTAAGATATTGGCTCATGATAATAAATTATAATTATATTTTCTAAAATTTACATTTGAAAACGAAGAATTGTCAGCAGAATTAATCATTCCCTTGGTTCCTTCCTTCAAAATAATTTCTTCAGCGTGTAAGATTCTACTATATTTTAATAAATCCAGATTAGGAATTGCCCACTCCCAATAGGAACCTTCTCTTTTTCCTTTCTATTCTGTCTCGGTTAACGGTAAGGGCCTCCATTTTTGACCCTACTTTTAATCAGTTTATATTATATTCTCTTATAATTTTTTGATTCGTATATGCAAGTTTTAAATTTTGGAGCAAATACTTAAAAATGATAGTTTACTGTAGCTTCGTAATTTTACTTTTTGAGGTTTGGCTTTGTATTGAATTTCTATCTGACCAATCAACACGCGTCTATTTGCTTTATGCAATTGTTTAGGATTTTTTGAGCGTAATAGCTACTTACGATAAAATGGTATTTTTAGAACATTTTTTAATATAACGCCGCTATAATTTATTAATCTTATGTTGTAAAATAAAAGAAAATATAACAACAAAAGCACTTAAAAATTATAACATTATGAAGAGAGCCGCAATCAAAATAGCTGGAATAATTGTTGGCTAAACGATTACAGGCGAAAGAACTCGAACATTCCATATTTTCAGGCACAACCCCATAGAACCGACGCTTCTGAGGATCGACGACGACCAAGCGCTAGCAAATTCGCATTTCAATTTCTCGGAGCCGACGGTGTTTTTTTTTCATGCATTTTTCGAGTCTTCCACAGCTCAACCCGCACTTTTTATACGTACAGGTAATTATCGTTCAGTACCAGGTGCGGATTATATTAATAATAATGAATAACAATGACTAATAATGAATATTAATGAATGGTAAGTGTTTGTTTCATTTGAAAGAAAGTCAATTTGAAACACGTAATGAGCAGTATAGGGTGACCAAATTTGGTTACACTTTAGTTCTTGTTAAAATTGATACAAATGATACAAAAAGAAATGCAATGAAGTTCGAAGAAACAAGCAATTGGGTACAACGGAAAAATAAAAAAAATATATCGGTATTATCTCATTGTAGGTAAATTTAAATCGAGACTGCAAAGACTTTCTGGAACGTTGTCATGAAAGAACAAATAAGCATTAACATACATAATACTTAAAACACAAGTTTTCAGACTCATTTCTAGACCACTTCTTATTAAGGATATACAATTACAAGCCCAACCCCAGCCCGTAATTAATTTGCATGAAAAATTGAACTGGAGAATTTTTCCAAATTAGGATTCGTTGCATATAATGTCAATGAAAACGAAAATGTCATAGAAAGTATCAAGTTCATAAAAGGGTTTAAATTAAAACAATAAATAAATGAACGGTGCTAATTCAGTATCAGGAACTTCCATTACAAAAAATATTTTTAAAATTTATCAATGTTTGAAACAATCGCAATTTTTCTGTATGTTTAAGTATCAATAATGATTTGCGAGAAAAAAACAAAAAAAATATTGAAAAGAAATTTTAAAAATATTTTTAACATTTTTAAAACAATAGCAATTTTTACGTATTGGTTTCAGTTTTAAAAATGATTTTTCCCATAATACGTAATAATAGTGCCAAACTTTATTTTTTACTTTTTGGAAGTTTGAAGACTTTAGTAAATAAACAAAAGAAGTTGTCAAAATACACGACGAAAAATTGACCTTCTTAAAATTTTAAATTTTTAATTAATACTTAGAAACTTTACAAAATAACTTTACTACTTTACAAAAAGAATTCAGCAAAGAAACACTTCAAATCAATACATTTCTGTATTGAAAAATAAGTTTTCATTCAACTCTTAAAGCTCTTCTACAAATAAACTTATTAAATAGTATCACACTATTTAATCTTACATTTGGTTTGGACATAATATCTACATAGTGGATATAATACTATAAACAGATTCGTTTTTAGATATGCCATCAGTATTAACATTACTTACAACTGTTTGGTTCAGGCAAGGAAAAGACAAAATACTATTTTTATTGGAATATAATAGAATGTGACCCTATACACATTTTAATTAGGAAATGATTACAGATTTCTAAAAACACCACGACCTGGCCCCCGTGTTTTCCAAGTTGCTAAAAACCCCACCCCTTCTTGCTTTTCTGTTTGTTGCTATTTTGAAAGCGAAACAATCGCCATGAGCGATCAACAAACGTGTCTTAGACAACATGTACGACTACGGTTCATCGACTTGTGTACCGTCAGCGGTTACACCCGAGGTGCATGCCCAGTAGTGAAAGTTAAATGCACCTAGGCGGCGACATTGACTGCACTTGACATAGAAATTCAGCGTTTTGTTTTGCAACGAAACGAAGTACAGCGCGCACAGTTCCAGTTGCCCAAACCGCAAACGTTTTTTGCTTTATCACTGACCTATACCGTATTGCATCACGTTACGCTGCAATGAAACAGGGTGTATCAGTTTATTGAAGCGCCATTATAATAATAAGAAAACAACTATCGACTTTTATTCATATTTATCAAACGCTAAAAATATCTTGAACTCAACATTCAGCTTAGATATCATCTTGGTCATCATCTCGCGTTTTTGGAGAAAAAGTAATCCGCCACAATTTTTTTTTCAGTTTCGCTTTATTCAAACAATTTTTGCTAATGCGACATAAGTTGTTAAATGAAACTTATCTGATTTTTCAATAACTTTTCTATCATTTTGTGCAGTGTAATTTTTAATTTTGCAGGTAACGATATTGGGTAAATTTGTGGCACTAATATGCTAAAAAACTATTGCTGAATCCTTCAGAAAAATTCAATAGTATGGTAAGGGTTGTTGAGTGATTTTGCCTAAAGTCTTGCTGACTGGCAAGGATGATATTATTTTCCCTATAAAGTGATATGATTTTTCATAAACTTTTCTTTAATTTTGTGTATACACGGAGGTAATGATAGTTTTGGGTAGTTCAAAAATTATACTTCCTCAGCTATGGCACTCATATAGTTTGGCCATTACTCAATAAATTGTTATGTTGTTATGTTCCCCAAAAAGTTATTAGTATGGTATAGAAGTTTTAATACGGCATGATTTGGAGAATGATTTTCCTTAAAGTCATGATGAGTTGCGATGATATTATTTCCCCCCAGCAATTGATCTGATTTTTCATGAACTTTTTTCATATAACGGGATGTAACGACGTTGGTATCGTACAAATTTTAATATGATATGATTGTGTGATATTATTTTCATTTAGAACCTGATTTTATTACTCATGAATTTTTCTATCACGGATCTTAAAATTGAGTTTCCAAAACAATCATTTAAAAAAGATACGTTAGAGGAAGTTTATTAACTAAAAAGGGTCACACCCTGTCCAGATAGGAATTTTCTTTTGACAATTTGTTCAGTTTTTTTTACACACGTCTAAAGGAAAATTTTTTCATTTTGAATTCTTCGTTAAAAAAGGAAAATAAATGTTTCAAACAAATTTTCACAGCCTACTGCGATACAATTTCCAAATCTTTTGCTGCTAAACTTTATCATCATCATCCTGTTGCTTCTTCAGAACTTAACTAAAACTCATCAATTGTTAAGCATTGTAAGGAAAATAATGCTTAAAAGACATGCTGAATGACTAAATTTTCTGAAATAAAGGCATTATACACTAGAGTTTCTCATTCTCTCTCTTCATTAGAAGAATTTATTAAAAAAAATAGCAAATGTTGCACATTTATGTGACCCCATTGTACAAGTGCCACTTGAAAAGTTTCCGACCTGACAATCATACAAGTCAACATTGTTTCCTTGTAACTCTAAAAGGTACCAAAAAGTAACAAGTACCCAGCGTTTTTCTCCGCAAAATAATTGTTCATAAAAGTGATTGCCTCCCTCATTTGACGAAAATCTTGGTCCTCCGAGCGCAGTATTCGCATGAAGGAACAAAATGAAGTCATTTGGGGCTGGCGCGTTGTCTTGGTGAAACAAGATTTTTTTGCAAATACTTGATCTGTAGCATGCTCCTGTAAAGGTTCTTCTTTTTGACGGTAACCGATTAAGATGTCTCCATGGCCAGTTGCCATCAGTTTCCCAGCTGAAAAAACAGTTTTTCCTTTTTTCGGAGTCGGTTCACCCTTCGCAATCTACTGTATTTTTGATTCGGGCGTATAATGGTGTATCCATGTTTCATCTACACTAATTATTCGGCGCCAAAACTCGGATTTAGTGCGAAGAAACTGCGTTAACAAAGCTTTAGTATCGTTCATTCGAATACGATTTTGTTATAACGTGAGTAAAGGTGGAACCCAACCCGCGGATAGCTTTATCATGCCTAAATCTTGATTTAAAATATGACAAACACGTTCTTCGGACATTTTCATAACCTCCGCTGTCTTTCATTGGACGGTCTTTTAACACCATTTGATGAACTTTAGCAATATTATCGTCGGTAGTTCGAGTTTTTAGAAGTCCCAAACGTTTAAATTCAGGTGCCCCAAATTCTCCATACACAGCGTCTAACTCAAATTTAATTTGCTAGTATTGCGTTTCAAAAACAAATATTTTATAACAGCTCTATACTCGATGTTTTCCTTTTTCACGAAAACTCTCAAATAGAAACCACGAGTTCAAAATGGCTGAAACTTTGGTAAGTAAAACTATCAAGAGGTGCACTACTACGGTCACTAGTTTTTAGCAACTAGTGCCGCCATCTTCAGGGTGACGTCGGAAACCTTTCAAGTGTCCCTTGTATATCCCTACCATTACTTTTCTTCAGTGAACATTAAGTTGATGAATACTTATTATACAATATAAGCAAAACAGTTATCGGGAGTTGCTAGAATAGTAGTGATGTTATTATTAACGAAATTGGCCCTGTGATATACGCCAAAAGAGAAATTATCAATAATTGCCAACAAATTTTTAATTTCATCTTGAAAAAAGCAGAGTACCATTCTTTATATGAAAATTTTAATATGGTGTCTCGAGTGCTCGTTAATAGTTAAGTTAAGAAGATCCCTTTTAGCTGAGTTTAAATATAATATCTTTTACCGTTCCACAAATATAAACTAAAGCTAAAGGGCGCGTATCTCAAAAAATTTTCCTTTTGCTTTTATGGACCGTTTTGCTGATTTTAAATTTCTATAACCCGATACACCCTCCAGTACAGAAAAAAACTTTGTTAACAAAACGCGGCGTTTTAATTAAACACATTCCTTAATGGGAATTTTAATATGTTATAACCATTCTTGATCAATTAATAAACATTTGAATTAATTTTCATTAATCAAACGCATATACACAAACACGCGGGCCGCCGATCCGCACACCCACCCCCGTGTCAGTAACAAAAACGGGGGCGTTTTAATTAGAGCCTTAATTAATTTCCGATTACTTGGTCCGCGCTCGTATCCCGTGTACTTCCAGCGTCAGCGGTTGAAACCGCATTTTTACGCTCCCCAGGTCTTATACGTATCATACCGTCGCCCTGATCTTTTTTCCCGATTAATTTTCATGCCGTTCGTTTCGTAATTTTTAATTGGAAGCAATCGATGTCGCCGCCCCCTCACGTTTGGGTTTGCCGACCTTCCAAGTCGCATATCCAGGAGCAATTACATTGTACCGATAGCCGGGCCTTGTATTATGCACCGTGTGCCTATACGCGTTTCGCATTTCATAGTAATTGAGTTGTGCGTTTCGCAGTCCCTGTAATTAATCTGTTGGTTATACCAGTGATTATAACGTGCGTACATTTTTTATTGCGAGAGGCCGCTTACATGGGTGGCCATTTTCGTTAACCTTCTC